CAAAAATTGCCCCCTCCTTAACGAGACCGCCATGGTCGGCCTATGTTCAGGAGCGGGAAAGAGGGGGAGGGAGGGGGGTTGAGCACTTTTTTTGTGCTTGTCTGAGAGTTGCCCACTGCCATCTCCTGTTCTGCTTGGCGTAGATGGCCATTATTCGGCTGTTGTGGATTGGTGCCGTGTTGCTGGTAATCTTGGGCGTAAGGGTAATTCCCATGTTTTGGGCATTTTCGTCGTGCGCGACTTTTTCCCGCACCTAACAAGTCGCCCTTGGTACTTTCTGTCCTGTTCTGCCCTGCATAATTTGAGCCCGGCAATGTTTGCACGGTCTTCCTACATGGAACGGGGATTTGGCCCGGCGAAAGATGAGGGGACGGGAGAGGGGAAAGAGGAAAAAAGGGAGGGTGGAGAAGACGAGGACTTGCCTGATAGGGGGAAGGGAGACTTCGGTTTATGGCGCAAAGAGGACCAAATAATTTGCTCGTTTACATGTGCCTAAGCCAAATCTCGCTCCCAGCATATAGTAACTTCAGCGTGTTCCAGGTCATATTTCGTTGCGTACTGTTTTCCCGCACTTTTGACCGAAATTTCTAACAGGAATTGGTTGAGTGAAAGCAGCACGCAACATACAGACTGGAAATGGATCACGAAACCGAATTAATCGAGAGCATCTCAGCGGTAAATTCATCTGCATCGTTGTCGGAAAGCTTGAGATTTTAGGATGAATTTTAGGGTTTCAAATATATTAATTAGGAGAATTTGGCGGGAACTCATTTCTTCGCTTGCTTTGTGCAACTTTGACCGTCTGTTATTTTATGCAGCCGTTAAAAGTTGCTCCAGGCCGCACAAAATGCACTCGCTTTTGAGTTTGGCTGATCCCATCAAGCAAGATCTCAGCTCCTTTCCAACCACTCTATTGCCTGTCTACCGCTTTCTGCTGCGGTGATATCGTGCGCGTGACATTTTTTATGCGTTTTATATTGTGTAACAGCTGCACAAAATGTATATTGTCATTGGGAGGAGAACGAAAGCCTGAAATTGTCTCTATGTGTTAACATATGCAGTTTGTTTGGCATTGCTGGCCCGCCAGCGTTGAAAGGAACAAAGTCGAATTTTGATAATTAATGAAGAAACTGGAAGTAGTGCCATTTGGACCTTTCAAAATATGCGATTTCGAGGATGAGATTGTGTGGCTTGACACACACTCAAGAGGACTGGGCAACACTCATAAAAAAAAATATAAGATGCATCACTCATAAAAATATTAAATTTTTTAAATGAAATGTTAAAAAAAGAACAATAAAAGGGATGAAACTGTAAGAGCTAGATTCTTTCAAATAAATAAAGCTGAGCAGTGGAAAATTTCAAATTTTTTGCAGTTTGTGGACAACCATCCTCAGTACTCATTTGACGCTGTTTATGAATATTTAAGTGGAATGGATAATTGGAGGGAGGAACTGGCGTCGCTCGGTGCTAGAAATTCGCCCGAACGCCCGATACAGCCCCCAGTTGGAAATGCCCCTGGGCCGTCTACAGGCTCACCAGATGCTCGGAATCCAGATCCGCCTGTTTCTGCGGTACAACAGAGACCTGGAAGACGGGGCAGGAAACGACTTCCAACCAATTCCATAGAGAATGTCACCACAGCAGTGGACGAACCTGATGCTCAACAACAGCAGCAGAAGACGCCGAATGATGTATGAATCTTTAGCGGATTTTTGAATTCATGAAAAATTATGGATGAACTTTGGCGACAAAAGAATTTAGTGGAAAAAATCGAGAAAAAAATTTTTTTTTGGTCTGTTTTTAATACTTAGCAGGTCGTAGGCGCATAAAAGTTGTCACAGTTTTGCCGAGATAAACCATAACGCATTAATTTAAATTTAAATATTTCATAGTCATGAGAAAGGTTGCAACTAAAAAGTAAAAAAAAAAAAAAAAAAAATAAGAACTGAATTGGAATGTTTCGGTCCATTAAGTCGCATACATTCCCATAAACTCCGGGCGGTTGAGTGCTGTAAGGCAAGGGTCCGATTTCGCCATAGGGTCAAGTACAGTTCTCTAGGACTCGTTCATTCGTAAATTTTTTGGTAAATTGTTACTGGTATATGCGGGGAATAGTAAACTGCGGCTGCTAGAAGGATGGATCGTAATCTTAAAATAAGTGGACGATCCAAAGAAATCGAAATGTGGAGCGGTCGGAGTCGGGAAGTTGAGACGAAGGGGAAGGAGATGAGCTTGTTAAAATAAACCAGCCATATGCAATACTCGGAAGAGGGAGCCATCGACAACCTTGCCAGCAGTTAATTTCCACTGGCATTTGTCACCATTCTTGCTACTTCCCGAGTATTTCCGCCTTTCGCTGAGAGCCAGTACGAAGAGGATTTGTGATTTTTTGACTTGGCATTTCATTTCACTGGAACTTTCAGGGATATCTTATGGCTGCTGCTTCTGGACGGGCGCCTAACGGTGCTGGTCGAGAGGGGTTCCCAGGATCTGCAGCCTCTCCAATTGTCCTGGACGATGATGATGATGTTGAAGAGCAGCATCCTGCTGATCCAGAAGGAGCTGGGCCCAGTCATCGGGGTGCAGCAGCAGCAGCTGGGACACGTTCAAGACGATCAGCAGCCAGTGAAGCCAGGCAGAAAGTTCGAGATCAACTTGGAACCCGTCGGAAAAAGGCAGAGCCGAAAAAACGTGGAAATAAGCCAAAAATTGCGGAACCCATCGAAAATTTGGATGTAGCGCCGAATGCTAACCGAGAAATTCCGGAGCCCGCAGAAAAATCAAACGCAGCGCCTAATGCTAGCAATGGTAAAAATTTTTTGCATTTTTTTTTCGAGTCTGTAAAGAGTAAGCGTTTGGCTGTAACTGGAAGAGTTTTAGGGGCGAAATTTTGCCCCGGATTGCTTCTTTATGATGAGATAAAGATGCTGTGTGATGAGAGCAGCATACAAAATTTTATTGCCACCGATGCAAGAAGGTAAAATCCGTTTCTGAGCTTCCCGGCAACTGTGATACCCGTGCGTGGATCCAGGACGATTTTCTGAAAGAGGGGGGAGGGGACATTTTTCACCTCGCCTTCGTGCGTCACTATACCTCCCCGTTGAAGGCTCCTGGGGGAGAAGGAAGGCGACAGATGGTATCGAGCAGACTTCCCCCCTTCCCTCCCTCTTCTTGAATCTGTCAAAGGCGGTGCTCCGCAG